GGTAACTCTATAGGGTCCGGTCCAATTAGGTTCCAATTTCTTTACATGAGCTGTCTCCTGCTTCAAAACCCAATCGCCTACCACAAAACTCTTGAACCTGACGCGTTTGTTATAACTGTTACACACCTGTTGTTGGTATGCCGCGAGTCGAATTGCTGCTGCATCTCTCCTTTCGTCTACCAAATCAAGGCTATGTTCGAGTTGTTGCTCATTGTTCCCCTCCAGTACCAAGGATGTCTGAAGGGTTGGGATTATGGACTCAGTGGGAATGACAGCTTCGGATCCATATGCCATAGCAAATGGGCTTTCTCCCGTGGGTCGTCTTGGAGTGGTTCGATAGGCCCAAAGCACTTGAGGGAGATTCTCGTACCACTTTGTCTTCAATTTCTCCAATTTTTTCTTTAAGCACCCGAATATCGTGCGATTAGTTATTTCAGCTTGCCCATTGCCTTGTGGATGACTAACTGCAGCCACCTTTTGCAAGATTCCATATTCGCTAAAGAATTTCCTTGTACTTCTGTTATCGAGGTTCTTACCATTGTCCATTACGATGACTTTTGGTACCCCAAACCGGCAAATAATGTTGCTCCAAATGAAATGCTTTACTTCTTCGTGGGTGATGCTAGAGAAGGCTTCAGCTTCCACCCACTTGGTGAAGTAATCCGTAGCCAGAAGCACATGCTCCTTTTTTTTCCATGGTTTTGGGTAATGGTCCTACTATATCAATCCCCCATTGGGCGAACGGCCATGGATTAGCCATGGCGTGCAAACTTTCGGCAGGTTGGTGCTTTATTGGACCATGGCGCTGACACTTATCACATCGTCTTGTGTATTCCTCGGCATTCCGAGCCAAGTATGGCCAGAAATAACCTTGGGTTAGAATTTTGTGTGCAAGGGATCTTCCTCCGGAGTGGTTTCCACAATCTCCTTCATGAACTTGTTTTAGAATTGTGAGAGCCTCAGTAGGAGTTAAACACTTGAGATAGGGACCGGAGAATGACCTTCGGTACAACTGGTTATTGATGATTGCGTACTTAGCCGCGATAAGCCTAAGCTTCCTTGCCTCAGCTTTCTGATTCGGGAGAACCCCTTCTTTGAGGTAGGCCTCGATTGGATCAATCCAGCAGGGCTCGCGTGGTACTTCCGGGATCACCATCACTTCTTGCCGGGGATTAATGCTGGGTTCTTCGAGAACATCGATTGGAACAAGCCGAATCAACTCTTCATCTGAAGATGATGCGGCTGCGGCCAATCGATCCGTTTCGGCATTTTCATCTCGTGGTACCTGATGGAACTCGATTTGATCGAACTCCTGGATAGCACTCTCTACAGCATTTTTGTACGACTTCATACGTTCCTCCTTGGGAGAATATTGCCCTGTCACTTGATTGATCACAAGCTGTGAGTCACTAAAAACTTTTAAATATCGTACCTGCAGCTGTTTAGCTAGCCGAAGTCCGGCAAGCATCGCCTCGTACTCGGCCTCGTTATTGGTAGATGGGAAATCTAGCAAAATTGACTGCTGCAGCTTGGTACCCTCGAGTGTTGTGATTTCAATACCGGCCCCTGCTTTTTTCCGGTTGGAAGAACCATCAACTCGTAACTCCCAGTATGGCTCTTGAAGTGTCGGTTCCTCAGGTTGATCTTCGTACTATAGTAGGAAATTCGCTACTGACTGCCCCTTGTGAGATACCTTCGGTGCATAGGTGATGTCAAAAGAGCTAAGTTCAATAGCCCATTTTGTAATTCGACCAGACAGGTCTGGTTTAGCTAGGATAGCCCGTATAGGGTGATTTGTAAGTACCACTATGCTGTGAGACTCGAAGTAATGTCGAAGTTTCCTCTTGGCATAAATTAACGCCAGGATTACCTTTTCTGTCTCGTTGTACCGTGTCTCGGCATCCGTCATCGTTTTGCTTGTGTAAAAGATTGGGTGCTGAACCTTGTCTTCTTCTTTGATCAACACTGCACTTGTTGCTACAGCCGATACTGCCAGGTACAGGATGAGAGTGTCTCCCTTCCTTTGCCTTATGGTAAAAAGGCTGGCTATACTTTTCTTCTGCTTCTTATTTCCGCAATACTGGGCTAAGAACATAGTGCACAAGGTCTCATAGTCAGGGATAGACTTGTGTGGCCTATTCCTGAACCATTCTAACGCTGCTCCGGTTAAACTGGTAGGAAAAACCTTACACATCCACGGATCGTTATGATCGTCCAATGCCATCTTTTGCGCATAATGATCAAGATGCCGAGAAGGGTCGTCTGCCCCATCGAATTGGGTGAAGGATGGCATAGTGAACTTCTTCGGCCTCTCCACAAGGTACACCTCGTCAGTAAAGGGGGTCTTGACCAAGGAGTTCTTGTGCTCTCTAGCCATCTCGGCTGGTGTCTGGACTCTCAAGAGCTTTTTTTCATCGAATGCATCTTGTACACGTGCGCCATCTGGAACGCCATTGGACTATACCGTAAGCCTATGGCTGGACTCGGCCTGTTCGTCCTGTGTGCGATGCAGGAGATTATCCGAAGCAACCGCCTCGGACCTCGTCCCTTGCTTTTGTTGCGCTTCACTAGGTCGAGCCCCGTTGGGTGGTGTCTCGTTGGCTGGAGGCTCGTGAACCAGAGGTAAATTCCGGGTGGGAGGTGGTGCCGCAGCATCGCCTGGTGGTGGTTGTGGCGTTAGCCTGGCCATGGCCGTGTGCAGCGTATGAGTCTACTGCTGAAGCGCAGCTATCTGGGCGACACTCGTATCGTTTGCTTGCCGGAGTGTCTCAAATTGGTGCAAGAACTCCTCTCGCATCTTTTGCATCAGTTCTATCTGTTGATTCATTGCTGAATCTCCGTTTGACATTCCAGACACGACTAAAGGATTTAATTTGAAGAACAAGTGGGAGTATATTTGTATACGTTTCCCACAGACGGCGCCAAAGTGTAGGTGCAAAATTTCGCTCAACCAATAATGACTGAGAAAAATAAAACAACTCACTCAAAAACAATAAAAATAAATAAGAACAATGTATAGAGAAGTGTGGAATTGCTTGATCCTTTATTGGAGGTCTTAGCCTCTATTTATATACAAAAGATTGCAAAATTATGGTAGGACTCCCGTTGCTTGCCCTCCAATTCTTTCTATATAACCATTCTTTTCTAATAGAGTTCTTTCCATTGTTGAATTTTCCATACATAGAACTTGCCTTGTACAGAACTTCCTATCCGAATTTTCCTTCTACAGTAAATTCTTCAAATGGTAGGATTTGTGCATTCTTGGGCTGAATATATTTTGATCCGGCTGGGCTTGGGTAACAGGCCGGATGTTAAATACTCATATATGGGCTGACGACAAGCTGGGCTGATGGCTTCTTGATTCGGCCTTGATGGAATGGTCTTGGGCTGTAAACACCCTCAACTTGGGCTTGAGCATGATGGGCCTTATATGTCCTTGGCCTGTAGATATGGGTAGTGGTGACGTGTGCGCTTTTTATTGGAGGGAGTTTTTTTCCCTCCACAGCAGTGTATTGTTGTTCTTGTCTTTGTAGATGTCGTATGGCGGGTTTGTTTGTCAGGTTAAAAATATATATATATATATATATATATATATATATATAATTAATTAATTCCAGAAGGCAAAAAAGCATATAGAAAATCAACAAGGAGAAGAAGGGTTTGGGGTTCAGGGCTCTACGTCTCCATTATTAAAGACCAGTGTTATTGAGATTTTATCAAATCTTAGAGGTATGTGGTTCTAGAAACCTTGCACATTTATTAAATATCATTCAGATAAATAGGATATTGTCTCTACACGCAAACACGCGTCTCTGGATATTTCACGCTTCCTTAAAAAAAAAAAAATTTAAATCTGGTTTCCCAAGGAATGAAAAGTCAATTAATATTTGGAATGACTATTGGGTTGCTGGGCTGCCAACCAAGTTAATACCTAAGCCTGGGGTTAATTCTTTCAATTATGTTGCGGATTTGATTGATGTTGTCCATCAAGGATGGATGGAGCTCGTTCTTCAACAGTTGTTCGCCCTTCATGAAGCTAAAGTTATCTCTCAAATTGCATTTAGTAACTTGGATAGTAACCTGGATCGTGATGATATTCAAGTGTGCGCTAATAAGGCGGATCCAGGATTTCTAGGTGGGGTGGACTAACATTAAACGTGAATACTAAAGAATTGGTTTGGATCTTTACTTTAGTATGGTGGCTGAATTTATTTGGGCTTTATTGTGTTTTTGGAGTAGGCTAATACTATTAATTTTTTTTTTAATTTTCTGGGTTGGACTAATATATTAGTAAAGTAAAAAAAATAATTTATTTTTTGGGGTGGGCTACAGCCCACCTTTGCCTACCCCTGTGACTACTGGGCTTTCGAACCCTTGGGTAGATTTACAGTGAAGTCTGCTTACTATTTGGCCTCTTCTTTCCCTCGTATATTGAGGAGGACTCCAGCGGTGAAAATTTTATTAGTGCGTGTTGGAGGTCGGTGTGGCGGTGTAAAATTCTTTCCAAAGTGCAACATTTTCTTTGGCGATGTTGTCAGGGACTACTCTTGCTCGTAAGGGAGTTTTGAGAAATCCTATTTGTTGTCGATGTGGTATGGAGGAGGAGGGCAACATTCATCTTATTTTCCGCTATCCTCACTCTATGCAGGTTTGGAAGCTGTCCCCCCTCCGGTTAGATTTCTCAAATTTTCAGTTTTCCTCTTTTTTCGGGTGGTGGTCTAATTTTAATTCTGAAAAAACTAATATTATGGGTTCGCCTCATTCTGTATTTGGATCCTATGGAATGCTCGTGATAAGAAAGTGTTTTGAGGATGGAGTTTGGAGTGTATGGGATGTAGTAAATTTGGCAGTTGATCGATTTTGGGAGTTTATGTTTTGTTCTTTGGGTTGTGTTAGTGACCATAAACTATTATTGATGAAATGATCAAATCAATGTTAATTATAATGAGTACCAAAGGGTACTACAAAAACACTTAATCCCTTGTTTCTTTTTGTTTGAAGACATAATTTAACACTAAGTGAAGTTCTTAGTCACAGACATCATTACAATTTCTGCTTCAATAATTATAGTACCATCCACTAAGAAACCCTTTGATTTGTCATGGAGTTCCCTTAGAGACGTGAAGGCCTGGAATCCCCAGCTCCATATCGTGGGACCGAACCACCCACTACCTGCAAAATGAATTTTGAAGGAAAATTAACAAAAAAAAAAAAAAGAAAAAAAAAAAAAGAAAAAAAAAAAAGAAAAAGATATTCAATCCCCCTACAAAAGAAAAAGCTCCCGCAGTAAGCAAGTTCATCAAAAGCAGCTGAGTGTACCTCCAGATTCGTGGTGTTTACCATTACTTGGTCCCTTATCCTCAACTTAAATCTTGCATACAGTTTGTGTTTAGGAAACAGAGATACTTCAAGAAACAGAGATATGTATTCATGTTTGACCTTTCTACTATCTCCTTTGGGATAGAGAACAAGATTCCTGAAATTCATTATAAAAGGACATAAACAATAGCTTACCTAAGGAATCAAACAAGCCAGTTTCGAATTACGAACAACCAGAATTAAAGGAAGACATGAAAATGTTGATCATACCAATTCCGGCCACCAATGTTAAACTCCTCAGAGTACAGAAATTCTTCACTTAATGATGAAAATTTCTCAACCTTCCAAGTGTGAACTTTGTTACTTAGTAGCTTTGTCATGCATAGACACTCACCTTTGCCTGCATATTTCATAACAAATACCTCTGCTCCAAATACACAGGTGTCATCTATGAGGTACCCGTTTGAAGGATCTTGGAACTCTTCGAGAGAGAAATTTCTCAAAACCCCATTCTGTCTTCATAGCATGGAAGCGCCTTACTGGTTCAACATCTACATTATATATAGATTATAAAATATATAAATATTATGTTGCCATAGCAGATTTCAGGAAATATAATGTGTAGTAGAGAAACTACCTTCGATAGTTAAGTACTTGCCACGTATATGATCAAAGACGAATAATTTCAAGTTCACATTGACCTCCCAACCGCGAGTAAGAGTTTCTGTATCGGATATTACCAAATATAGTGAAATATAATCTTTTCCATTTCTTTTCTTATTCCCAGTTGGGTAGAAAGACAATTTCCTGAAAATCCAAAAATACATAGATATGATCAATTGAGTTTTGACGTGCAGAACATGGATAAACTAAAGAGTATGAAAGAAAACATAAATAGACAACGCACCATGTATAGCCTCCGACTTCAAAAACATCTGATTGATAATTTTCAGTTTTTGTTTCCAGAAGCACAGAGAAAGACTCTATCTTGAAGATGTAATGTGACGGTTGGACATCACGCAATGTCTTTCTAATTTCTGCAACAGAATGAATACAGACAATGGCTTAGGTGGTGAAAAATCAAAGGACTCCCATGTTTATTATATATGCATGCATATCAATATGGATGATTAACTAATAACTTTGGAATAGTAAAAAATCATTTGGCATGCTAAAAGCCACCTTGTAAAATCGAAGTACTCTCGCAACAAATTCATTTACTTATTTTCTTTTGTTGAAGTTCTCTACCAAAACCCCTTTTTAAATTCAATTTGTAGCTTTAAACTTTAGGGATTGGGACACTCACTGCTTTGGATTTTGGGAGCTCACTAGGTTGATTTGCACTAAAGTGCATCAAATGGTTATCTGGTCACATGGTATGGAAATAGATACAGCTATGCTAAAAGAATTTTAGTAAAATGCATGATGACTGTCAGAAAAAGATGGTAACTTGCTGTATCGATCCCGTAAGCAAGGAATGAAATGTAAATGGAAATTAAAGAGAACATGGTGAGAATCTGTAACACAAAATATATAGACTTTATAGATCCAAGGTTCAGATAATTGCTCTGTTTCCTTCCGCTACAAAGAAACACTCCTCTCGTTGAGAAGAAAATATCACAAATAAAAGAACTGTTAAATCAGTGTCGAAAATGTGTTAACAGGAATCATAAATACTCAATTGTAATTCACAATGTCAAGAAATTAAGGATGTTTTTACTTCAGAATACATTAGATTAACCAACTCAGATCAAACTTATAACTTCAACAACGAGATATTCCTTTTCCTAATTTAAACTTCAAGTCAAAACCAAACAAGAACAAGTACTCTCACCATCTTGGTTATAATGGTTTATATAACTAGGGAGAATTTCATACTTCCATATAGCTTAGATCCTATTTACAAGGTGAAGAGAGTTCTATGAAGACAGATTATATCAATGCTAAAAAGAATAGCATCTTTATTTACTTTCATAAAGGCAGAGGAGCACAATTGAATCTGATTACCCAAGAATAATGCGTAAAGAGATGGAATGACATAGTGGATGTTCACGAATGAACAATGAACAACTTCAATTTTACGAAGTTTAGTTACTCATATGTTGGATTATTATATTTGTAAGCAAAATAGTAGTTTATTATGTCTGGAAAACTGGATAATGGACTCCAAACCTTTTACGCAGACGATTTCAGTTCACTCTTTACATGTGACTATTCAACCTCTCTTATATGCATATATAAACATTGATAAACTACTATTTTGCTTACAATAATTTCATAGGATTGTGCTACCTCTAGCATTACTATTTCTACAATGTTAATATGACATAGAATATATATAAATAATTTTTAAATCATGTAAAGTAAAGGTATAAGAAAAGAAGATAATTTCGCAGCTGTGGAAAGCTTACCGTTCGCAGCAACAATCTTAGACATCTCTATTCCAGGTTGAGTTAGCAAAGCACATACGTACAGGCTTCCTGTTTATACAAAGAATATTGATCAATTTTGATAGAATAAAAAACACATGTTCAATATTCTTGAAAGAAGCCTTTGATAGAAAATCTGATATATTCAGAAAAAAAAAAAAAAAAAAAAAAAAATCCCTCAATAATTTAAGATCATTAATCAAAATTACCCCAATTTATAACATGTACTCCATAAACAATTACACATTCATTAATCTCTTACCTTGCAATACCGGCGGAGTTACTTTGGAAAGCTCCAATCCTTGACGAACGAACAATAAATCAACTTTCAATCGACAATATATAAGCCAATCAACTTTGTGCGTATTTATAATAAAAAAAAATTAACCAACCTAATTACACATAACCTAATAGTATAAGTAATAGCCCAATGAAACCTAAGAAACAAGGAAAGGTTATTTTCTACCAATTAGTTTGAAAAAAATTGGAGGTACGGTTGCTGCTGGAATTATATATATATATAATAAGTATTTTTGACAATTAAATTATTTTTTACTATATTTGATATTAGCAACTTTATTAAGGAAATGGTGTAATTGTTTTTATAAAAAATTACAAGGTCAAAATTATCTAATGAAAAAAAAAATTACCTAAAATATTCAATTCCTACTTAGAATGCCTTAGAAATGCAGTTTTAAAAACTTCAAATTCTAACTTAATTTAAACGTTCTACTTAATTAAATTTGATAATCATTAAAAGCACTTATAATAGTTACCAAACAAACGCAATTTTTCAAACTAAAAGTACTTTTAAGCAATAGAGAAGCAATTTCAAATGTGCTCTAAATCAGCTACTTTTTTTACTTGATCACTAGTAATTAATTTTTAAAATATTAAATTATTTTTCTCACAACTTTAACAATTTTTCTAGGTTAAAAATAAAAACTTTATCTCTTAATAATTAATTTATGTAGATTTTGCATTGTGATTTGGTTTTATTACACGTTCTTTTGCTTTAAGTGGTGGATTATGCTCTATTTTTTTTTCTCTCTTTCTTTTGCACTCTCTGTTTTTTTTTCCTCTTGCTTATGCCCATAAAAAATATATATATATATTAAAACATTATTTCGGGGTAGGACTCATCTCTAACGGGCAGGTTCGTGTCATACCAGTTTCATTGTCATCTCTAATTTTTCATTTTTATTTGGTATTATAAATTATCAAAATAATTGAACATAGGTCGTTCAGACTAATAACTACAACTGTTTTGTTTTGAGTAGGTTAGTCGTAGTAGGGTCGTTAAAATATACCCAAACCCTATTACCCATTCAATAATTAAAGATTACTGAGCAAGTAGTTTAGTTAAGCGGGAGTCAAAAAAAAAAAAAAAAATTTAAGCGAGATCAATCACTAATGGATAATGAATTTAATGAGTTAAATGAGTTAAGAGTGAACATACACTCCCAACCTACCAGACACGTCCCTTTGTTATTTGGTCACGTAATTTTCAAGTTAATCCCCACACTAATATTTCTCTCTCTCTGACTATTTCTCTCTTTAAAACTTTTGTTCTGTATAACAGACCCAAATTAATAAAACCCTTACTGGAGCGATGCTAAGGACAGTCAATTTAAAACCCTTCCTGGACCGATGCTAAGGACAGTCCTTGCTGGAGCGTATGCACAACAAACGGAAGGGAGACACGCCTAAAAGCCTAGCAGACACAAAATAACCACGAAGCCCAAGCATGAACCCAACCCAACTATGACAGTGAAGCAACTTTTTTTATATGCATTATAATCAGTATAATGCAGCTAATTACCATTACTGGTTTGACAAAGTGAATCACATCCCAAATTGAGTGTGCCCATTATATGCATTATAATCACTATAATGCCGCTAATGATCATTACTCAATCGGACAGTTATTCGGCTCACTGTTTCGATGAGCCTATCCTTATTTCCTGTCAAATTTCGGTGATCCTATCATTACACTTAATAATTAATAAAATAAATAAATAAACAACAACACGAAAAGAAGGAAAAGGATAAAGTAACCCATTTTCCCAGTGAAAAACTCAATTATTTGTTTCTATGAAAGAATTCAAAAATATTCACTAATAAGTAATTATTATGTAAACTTGATAATTAGGTGTGGCGATAATATTCAAGTGGTAAATGGTTATGCCTTTAGTATCCATCTTATTGATCTAAAGTTTGAAAAAAAAAAATGCTTGGTAACTACTAATCTTTTTTGGAATTTTATTTTATTTTCTTTTTATTATTATTATTATTATTTTGGTGAAGTACAATGAGTAAAATAAGTTTAATCATAATAAAATGCCACAGCTTGTTTTATTTCCTAAGAATTTTCCTTTAGAACACTACCTAAGAATTTTCCTTTAGAACACTACCCTTTTTCTTTTTTTCTTTGGTAAAGACAATGTGTAACAGGTGGGCGCTTGCCCATTTACCCAAAAGCTCGAACTGTTGGGTCGTGCTGCATACCCACCCATTTATACCCATGTCACTTCCCATCCAGATCCAATGTGGGACAAATTTTCCCTTGTAACATTCTCCCCCACCCGAACTCGCAATGCCCTCGTTGCGGTCGGGCCACCCTGCCTACCCGGGGTGGTACACCCGGACGTCTTTCGGGCCGGGCGCTTGGCGTGACACCGGATCAAGGACTGAGTCTGGCTCTGATACCAACTGTAACGGGTGGGCGCTTGCCCATTTACCCAAAAACTCGAACTGTTGGGTAGTGCTGCATACCCACCCATTTATACCCATGTCACTTCCCATCCGGATCCGATGTGGGACAAGTTTTCCCTTGTAACACAATGACACCCCATAACAGTCATATACAAGTTAACTATTTTTTTACAATGACATCTCTTGAAGGTTGACAAGCTGACAAAAACATCCCTGTAGCCACCTACCACATATGACACATCGGGAATGGACCAACTTGCCATTTGATTGTTTAATGTACCATTTTAACTTTACAACTTAATGAATTGGACTAATCTACCTTTCATTAACATTGATGCAAAAGAGTTGAAATGCTAAGTTAGAGGAAATTTTTGCACAGCAGTGAATAAAAAATTCATAGAAAATTCATTTGAAATCGAAATGGAATAAACAAAAATGTTTTGGAAAGTAGACTCGTGGAAGTAAAAAACTGAAAATTTTGGTTTTGATCTGATATCTAGAAGGCTATCAAATAAATAAATTAAAAATATGATTTCAAAAGTAAAAAATTTAATAAAATTGATAAAATTTAATGCCCAAATTTCTCTTCAACGGTTATGTTTGGCTATAGACTATATACCAGTTTTACATTTTATCAATTTCCCCCCCTCATTACCCCCAATAGTCATGTATGGCTACAGAATATAGATATAAATTAAGTTTTATCAATTTGCCCCCTCGTTAACTCCACCTGTCATGTATGACACTTTGGCTTTTGTGATACCTCAAATTTCGGAACACGGGTTTATCAAGTCCGCGCACAAAATAAGGGGATATCAAAACAATTAAAGTATTTAAACAAGCACAGATTACAAAATCAAATAAATAATAAATAATACGCTGAAGAAAACTAATAAATAATAAATCCACTAATAATTTTTCAATGATTACAACTCGAGAATCCCGTAACTTAAGGGCCCCTTAACCAAAAGTCACTATTCAGAATTTCAGAAATAAATACTAATGTCAAATAAAGAAATAATATCCTACTTTGAAATAAACTGCAAGAATACATAAGTCTTCCAACTGCGGATCCTCGACCTTGAGACTTAAACCTCTAGTAACCTAAAAGATAAAAATAAAGTGGGTCAAACCCACGAGCAAGTTCTCTCTACTAAGCCTTTGAAAACCAATAAATAAATCATCTATACCAAAACCAACACTCATAAAGTTTTAACTTTAATGTACGATGATACACATATATAAATATATATAAATACTTATATATAATTCAACAATCCTATCCATTAATAGGTTCATTAAATTATAAAAACCATTAACCAATGATTAATTAATAATCATTACTAAACCAATCCACTAATATATATTTCTTTTAAAAAGAAACTCATCTATCCTTAATTCCATTCTGGACAGTAATTTAATCATTTAAGCAATAAATTACAATTAAAGAAATAATGCATTAAATCCAAAACCTAATAATGATTTTTAGTTATTTAAATCACATGGACAATATCTAGGTCTTGACAAATCATCCATGTCTCTACTAATATTATTTTATTAATATATATAAAATATTACACTAACATGTAAGTACTAGATTATTATAATCCTAATCCAACCCATACATGCAATAACAAAATTGTAATCATCTAACACATAACAATTTAACTATGAAATGACAATTCAACTATGCCATTATAAATATATTTATTTATATATTAACAATTCAACCATGCTTCCTTAAGTATATTTATTTATACTTTTAATTAGCAATTCATCCATGTTTCCCATATATGAAATTTATTCATAAATAATAAAGCCATATATTTAAGCCTTTGTTAACTCATCCATACCATCAATTCAACCATGTACCAAACCTTAAAACTAATTTAACCATAAACCAAATTATACATAGGCATTCATGCATATTATAAACATACCCCTTAATTTAACAACCAGTCTATTAAGATATACCAAATATAAGAATAATAATTAATCATCTTAAATAATATATACATATACACATATATTATTTTATATATATATATATATAACACCTTCCATAATAATCCTTGATTATCAATTAAAATTATATATATATATATATATATATATATATATATACATACATCCTTCCATACTAATCATATATTAATTAATTCATATATAAAATATATATATATGTACACACACATTTCCTTCCATCCCCAATTATTAATTAAATATATATACGCACATTAAATACCTTAGTGATACTCCATGCCTTTCAAAACATCACGAACACATCCTCTAATGGTTGCTTTCAACCTTAACAACTTAAAAATGAATTATGGGAATTCACTGGACCTCACAGGAAATTTCAGGGACCTCAAACACCTTCGCACGCGCCCCCACGCGTCACCACACGCGCTTAGACCCATTGCACGCGCCTCCATAAGAAGCCACGAGTCTTCACGCGCTCTCACGCACTACCCACACGCCTGATTACTCCTCAAGCTGACGTGGCGTCTTCTGGTTGGCTAGTTCTTCTTGTTCTGGTGAGCCACGTCTCACTGGATTCCATCTTTATTGACTTGACTTGGTTAACGGTCCAGATCTATTGCGCACTTATTCTCCATGGACATCCACCACACCAGATTCATCCACTTAGATTAAATCAATCCAATGACCTAGATCAGCGTGTGCACCTTCTACCTATGCACATGCCCACACTAAAATATCTGAATATCATCAGGACCATTCTAAGGTCCTGATTTGAGGCACACAGAAGTGTTGCGCTCCACGACTCACTAAATTACAGCCTCCTATTTGTTGTGCCGATATGTAACCGTGGCATATATTTAATTTTAAAAAATTATAAAAATAATTCCAATTACATTCCAGAATATTCCTAAAAATACAACACAAATTCTAAAAATAATCTGACAAATCCAGAAAAATCCCAAAAGCTTAATTTATTATTTTTGGGCATATATGAAAATGTAATTATATTAAGATCTATTTAATTTAATTAATCATGCTATACAAAGTTAAAGTAAACTATAAAAATTTCAGAAATTAAAGTTTAATTAACCTAACCTCACGTACAAGATTTAAATTATCAAAACAATACATACATATATTCACATGTTTAAATCTATAATTTTGTAAAGAATAATCATTTTCATATAATCTAATTAATAAATTAATTTAATAAATAAAATAAAACTATGATTTTGATAATCATGGTGATAAGGTTATGAGTTCTAAAAGAAGAAGTAGAGAAGAACTCGTCTGTCTCTTTCAAATCCGACGTCCTATTTCTCTGATCCGGTCTCCTCTTTGTCAGTCATTCTTCTTCTTTTCTCTCGGTCTCTCTTATTTTTCTAACGTGGAAACCTTTAAATCCTAAAGTCTTATGCGTATATTTATGCACATTAAAAATTCAAATCATTTTCCAATTATGACTACCAAATAAAACAATAAATATACACACACACACACACACACACACACACACACATATATATATATATATATATATATATATATATATATATATATATATATATTCCTTCCATAAATAATCATTAGTTAAATAAATCACCTATACCTATATATATATATCAATAAATATATATATATATATCCTTCCATAATGATTATTAATTAATTATATATATATATATATATATATATATATATAATTATGCAAAAATAATTATTTAAATATCTTCATAACCATGGGTCTTTATTAATTAACCCAACAAGGCTTCATTCAAGCCTAAGACTACATCTATTGATCCCACTTCTCTTAAGCCCAAACCATTTAACTTAAATAAATAAAATAATTAAATTAAATCAAACCTATTAAAGATAAATAATTCACAATAAAATCACACAAGCTTAAATACACACAAATCAAATAAACAATTAATGCATAGCATTCCACAAATCAAACACCATATCAATTTAACAAATATAATTACGAAATATAATTTAACTAAAACAAGACAATTACTCTACGCACTTAATTTAAATAAAATAAATCATTTAAAAATAAAATAAAAGCAAGTAATCACAATTAAATCAAACAAATCATTTAAAAACAAAATAAAAGTAATTAATCCCAATTAATAAATCCTTTAAAATATCAGGGTATTACATTCTTCCTCCCTAACAAAAGAAATTTCATCCTCGGAATTCACGAATCCATGAAATGAAACTCTGGTTATTTATCCCAAATTTTCATTTTCCCTTATCAAAACATTTACTATGTTAGATATCCAATATGTAAATATCTATAGTAATATGCCCACAATTCACGTGTAAATTGCTAACACCTAGTAGTGTAATATACTAACAATCAATGGCTTATATATATATATATATATATATATATATATATATATATATATATATATATATCACTATCATAAGTCAAAACAATCTAGATACTAATGAACATAATACACTTGTATCTAATAAGTTATGTCTAAGTTTACCTCGAATAGAAAACATACCCTTAATTCTTCTAAGGTGCCCATGCATTACAAGGTGTGGCATCGTACACCCTGTCTAAATGCAACTGTTGTATAGGCTGCCCTTGTGGTGGCGGTGGTACTGGTAAGGCTGGAAATGTCTAAGCATGCACATGTGGAATCTATGGAGTAGGTAATGGTTGCCACTGTCCCTATTGCCCATGTTGTTTCTGAGCCAACCTAGGACATCGTTTGGCTAAATACCCATAATCTCCACACTTATAGCAATAACCCCTAAATATATATGACTGCCCCTCCTGGTGATTACCCTGTAGTTGTCCCTATCCAGTCTGAGGTGTTCCCTTCTGCTGAATGGGAACTCCCTCTCTCTGAACTTCTGAATTACCCTTGTTCTTCTTCCAAGGTTGTTGTCCTTGGAATCTACCCTTGTCATTCTATCGGTTCCCATTATCATTCACTTTCTCAGCTGGCTGATTAGTATAGTCTTTGCCATCCCGCTTCTCACCCCTAATCTGTCTGAAATCCACATTCAGCTGATAAAGCTGTAAAGCTGCGTCCACCACTTGAGCATAAGTAGTGTAGGCTGGACTACCTATAATAGATCGCTTAATAGACCACATCAATCCATTAACAAAACTAGAACGTTTCTTCTCTTCTATTGTAAGGTTCCTGAATTTTGTCATTTTTCAATTTCTGGAATTTTTTAATTTTCGGGGGTATTTTTGTCTTTTTCTCGTTTTGCGTGCCAAACATCGTGGGGTGTGTTGGCCGTGTTCGAGAGTTGGGTGGGACATTTCCTTGAGTTCAGGACTCTTGGAAATGCACCGGTTGTTATTTCGACTTTTCTCCATTTTTCAGGTTGGACAGTCTCGGGTGGGACCCGCTACCGGAATCGTTATGTACGGGAATTTTATTTTAGGTTCATTGCATACCATATGTAATTATTTTGTGCATATTTAATGTGGTTGTATGCCATTTTGTATAGTTATATGCACATATGTGTGTGTAGTGGGAAAAAAAAATTTGTAGTGGGACCCACCATTAAAGGTTTTATGACCAAGAGACCAACATTGGTCTCATTCTCTTTCTCTCACCCAGTACTAGCTCTCTCTCCCTCTTTCCTCTTCATTTTTCTTTTCTTTTTGGCTTCAAGCTTCAATCTTCAATTAGTTTTTCATCTTTTGGAAATTTTGGTTGCCGTTTGCGGCAAATCGAAGAGCTCGGCGAGATCTTTAAGTTGATGTAAGTAATTGCAACTTTGGTGCATCCTAGGAATTTTGAAAATTAGGGCTTTGATTTGGAGTTTTGGGGGTTTTCATCCATTGAGGTAAGGGTGTTCTAATGCATGATTTCTTTTAGTTTTGTGAATTTTATAACTTGAATTGATGTCTAGCATGTTCAATTAGTATAAATTCTTGTAAAATTTGCTTAAATGATAGGTATGGACTATATGTGACTAATTGTTAGTTGTTTTATAGTATTGAAACATGCTTACATGAAGTTAAATCCATGTCTTATATGCTTGTTATGCAAAATTGATGTTAAATGAGAATTTTAGTTATGTAGTTTAGAAATTTGCTTTACATAGCATGTGTGAGAATTTTATGGTTAAATTGATGAATTTAAGTATGAAACATTCCATGCATTCATTGGGATAGAAAAAAAGGGAAAATGTCTTTAAAACAAGTGAAAATTGTTTTGGGAAAGGTTTTCTAAAAGTGTTTGCAAAAACCCTAACGCCTAGGAGGCGCCTAGTGGTCTGTGGTGTTAGTGTAATCTATAGGGGAGTTTAGTTGAGCTAACCAGGCCAGATGCGACGCCTTGGAGGTGCCTTGTGGTCGTGGATGGTTAGTCAATCCTCCTTTCGTGACGCCTTAGAGGTGCCTTGGGTCGGATTATACTAAAGGTTTGAACGTTGAAACGGAAATGTTTCGGATATAGGGAGTGACATTGCATGACATTGCACTTCATTAGAATATATGGTGTGTATGTGTTTGGGTGACAATTGTTATTTACTTGTCGCTGTAGTTATTGCCATGTACCCCTATGCAATGATCCCATTTTCTTACGTGGATTCACGGGGTCACAAGAAGTGTATCTTAGACATTTCCTACTGAGCGTTTAGCTCACCCCATATTTTTTTTAACATTTTCAGGTTTGGGAAAAGAAATGGCGGGCGACAATCCACCACAGTCTTAGTTTGTATTAGAAGAATGTATCTTTTGCTACCTTTTGTATTAGGCCCCATTTTGTAAAGTGTTGACCCAAAGTGTATCATTTTGCAACTTGTGAAGTATTTAGTTTCATTTTGTATATGGCCATTGGGGAATTGTAATTATACTTATTTACACTAAATCTTTTAGTGTATTTCGTGTAACGTGTTGTAAATTATGTTAATATTGTTGTTGTTAATGTATTAGATGTTAAAATGTATTCAAATATGTACGTGGGTATGGTGTGTAGGGTGATTGGTTATCAATGTTGATGTATCTCGGACAGTGAAGAATTTCGAGTTTGGATAACCAAGAACCGATCGACGTAAAGTTCCCACACGTCGACCGGATAACCTGAACCAGTCGACGTGTAGCCTCCCACACGTCCACCGGTATCTTGGCATTAGCCATTTCACTGTGCATGACCTGAACCAGTAGACGTGTAGCCTCCCACACGTTGACCGGTATCTGGCAGTGGGCAATGTCACTGTGCGTGACCCAAACCAGTTGACGTGTAATGCATACACGTCGACTGGTTCCTGTTCCATACATTTTTTGTTTAATTTCCCTAATTATCCTTTTATTAAAAGTTACGGTATTTATATTAGGACCCAATAAAATTCAATAATTATTTTTTAATCACAGAAAAGACTATATTGCCCCGAACTCTATCATATTTATTAAGTGACATAAATAAGTGACCATTATGCCCTTTGAATCTCATACTATTAGACTTATAGCAATGACCATTTTGTCCTTGTTGGGTTTTAATATATAAATTTAACGTGAAAGGACCATATTGCCCTTGGATGATTTTGGGTCGGATAAAGATCCGTTTAACGATCCGGACCCAGTGGATTTGGGTCGTTACATCTGTATCCACCTCCTCTAGAGCAAAAAGTGATAAACTTGTAAATTGCTGCTCATACTCTACTATAGACATGTTCCTGTGCCCTAAGTTAAAAAACTTCATCTTCATAGCTGCCCTGATCGCATATGGAAAGCACTTCTCATCGAAACGAGCACTGAACTGATCATAGGTTAATAAAGTCCTCTCTTTGCAGAAGTAACTGACTCCCACCACTGGAGTGCATCCCTGACAAGCTTGAAGTTAGCAAATATCTGTTTTTGAACCTTCGTGCACTAAACCATGCAAAGATGTTACTCGATGCCCTTCTTCCACTGGTGAGCTACTTTTGCATCGGTGGAGCCTGAGAATTTAGGTGGGCTCCCCTTTGTGAAAGAACTCATAGCTTTCTCCCAAGGATTTGTCTGAACCGCAAGTGATAGTATAGGTGCCTGCTAAACCTGTGGTTGATTCCGAACTGCAGCTGTTACACTTGTTTCTATAGCCCGAGCAATGAGGTCATTTATATGAGGAGAATACTCTGGATCCTTGCCCTGATTGTAGCCCAGATCCTAAGACTCCTGAATATGCTGTACTTCCTCCTGCTCGATGTGCAACTGATCATTATCCTCCTGAAACCTAGGCAGTTGTTGCTTTTCCGCAACTCGCTAACGTTGTAGGAGATATCGTTGCTTACATGCCGTTTTCCTTTGCTGCCTGTTTCCTTGCATGTCTCATCCTCTTCTAGCGTTACCCATTCTGTTAACACAGAAAGATAGACATTAGAATGATTATAACGGACAGTAAAGGAATATAATGAATCTTAAACTTAAACTCTAAATAAAAGAGTACACAACGCGGAATTCACATAACGAAAGACACCCTAAGGACACTTGAACCTAAAGTACTCTGATACCAACTGTGATACCCCCAAATTTCAGAATACGGGTTGATCAAGTCCGCGCACAAAATAAGGGGATATCAAAACAATTAAAGTATTTAAACAAATACAGATTACAAAATGAAATAAATAATAAATAATATGCTGAAGATAACTAATAAATAATAAATCCACTAATAACTTTCCAATGGTTATAACTCAAGAATCTCGTAACTTAAGAACTCCTAAACCAAAAGTCACTATTCGGAATTTCAGAAATAATTAATAATGTCAAATAAAGAAATAATATCCTAATTTAAAATAAACCGAAAGAATAGATAAGTCTTCCAGTGTGGATCCTTAACCTTGAGACTTGGACCTCTACTAACCTGAAAGATAAAAATAAAGTGGGTCAAACTCACGAGCAAATTCTCTCTACCAAGTCTTTGAAAACCAATAAACAAATCAGTTATACCAAAACCAACCCTCATAAAGTTTTAACTTTAATGTACGATGATACACATATATAAATACTTATATATAATTCAATAATCTTATCCATTAATAGGTTCATTAAATTATTAAAACCATTAACCAATGATTAATTAATAATCATTACTAAACCAATCCACCAATATATATTTCTTTTAAAAAGAAACTCACCTATTTTTAATTCCATCCTAAACAGTAATTTAATCATTTAAGTAATAAATTACAATTAAAGGATTAATGCATTGAATCCAAAAGCCAATAATGATTTTTAGTTATTTAAATTGCACGGCCAATATCTAGGCCTTAACAAATCATCCATGTCTCCACTAATATTATTTTATTAATATATAAAAAAAATAATACACTAACCTGTAAGTATTAGATTATTCTAATCATAATCCAACCTATACATGTAATAACAAAATTGTAATCATCTAACACATAACAATTTAACTATGAAATGGCAATTCAGCGATGCCATTATAAATATATTTATTTATATTTTTAATTAGCAATTCATCCATGCTTCCTATATTGATAATTTATTCAAAAATAATAAAGCCATATATTTAAGCCTTTGGCAACTCATCCATGCCTTCAATTCAACCATGTACCAAATCTTAAAACTAATTTAACCATAAACCAAATGATACATAGGCATTCCATGCATATTATAAACATACCACTTAATTTAACAACCAGCCTATTAAGATATACCAAATATAAGAATAATAATTAATCATCTTAAATAATATATACATATACACATATATTATTTTTTATATATATATATATATATATATATATATATATATATATAATTTTAATTAATAATCAAGAATTATTATGGAAGGTGCTTTATATATATATATATGTATATATATATATATATATATATATATATATATACACACACACACACACACACACACTTCTTTCCATCCCTAATTATTAATTATATATATATATATATACGCACATTAAATACCCTAGTGATACTC